GTGTGAGAACGTTCCTCTCCTAGGGTGCCGGTGAGGATGACAGGAAACAGGGTGCCGGTGAGGATGACATGGGTGCCTGGGACACATGGACAGGCCATTTTCTGCTCTCTTTTCCAGAGTGGCCTGGGGGAGGCATGCCGAGTTGTCTCTGAGATTCCAGTCCCAACTCCCACCTCTTGAACCTGCAACAACACACTGGGACCCGGCTCAGACCTCCCCTTCAGGGGCTACTCTGCTCCGTCTAGCCACTAACCCTGGCCATACATTGCAATCATCTACCAAGCTTTTGGGAACACTGATTCCTGGGTTTTATCCCCAGATGCTCCTGTTTAATCAGCCCAGGGATGTGGCCTGGACATCATACTTTTGGGGGGGAACCACTGCCTGGAAGGCTGCCCCCGGGAACCCAAGAAGGCCGCCTGCACCAGCAAAGCCCCAGGGGAGGGGGCTGCCATACCCAAGCCTCCACTTGCCTGAAGAACGGAAAAGACACCACTGACTCGTAAAACCTCCAGGTCGCCACCAAGTCGATCCTGTTGGGGTTGGTAGCGTAATACCGCCAGGCAGCCTGGGAGAGAAAAGGGGGGCGGAGAGAGACCAGGCGTCACCACAGACCTGCCCACGGGGTTCCTCGCCACACCAGCAGCTTTAGGCCCCAGTCTCAGGGGCCAGTTCTATCCTGTTCTGGAGGGTCGCTCTGAGTCTGGATCGACTGACGGCAGGGAGTTTGGTTTGGGGCTTTGACTCATGGGGTCAAAGCTTGCTGGGTCAACCTCTGGGAAGGCAGGGGGTGCTGGCTCTCCCCGGGCATCTCTGTCAGAGGTAGGAAGCCAAGCATGGCCTGCCCATGCCACTTCGGGGTACAAATGAGCTCCCAGGAGGTGGCGGTCTCAGTGACAGGGTGCAGGGGCGTGGAGATACTGTGAGAGTTTGGGGAAGCAGGGGACTGAGTCTCAGAGATTGGGAGTGGCCTAGAAACTATAATGTGGGGGCTCACATTATATCCCGACCCTTGCCGGTCACAGGGACTCTCAGAGACACAAGCATGCCCACAGTGGGCACGTACGCATTCCCAACCCACATAACTGCAGCCACCAGGGGACTGACTCTCCCTTCCTAGTCTCTGTGTTCCTAGCAGCCCTCAAGCCTGGGGAATCACTAGGATTCCAACCCAGCCCAGGGAGGGAGCGGATGTCCAGTGGAGAGCTGGTGGCCTTCCGACATCCACCGATGGGGCTGTCTGTTGGGCAGATGGTCTAATGCTTGGTGCACACAGAGCATTTCCCTCTGCTGGCTTCTTGGCCCGTCTTCCCGGCAGATGGGAGGTGTGGTCAGATGCTCTAGGAGCAGGTTGACTGGGCACCTGCAGAGGACGTTGATTCTCCTCTTCGGGTCCCAAGGTCAAGAGCGGGAGTGAGGCAGCAGAAGGAAGCCTACGAGGGCCCCAGTCCAAGCTGAATCCTCAGCCCAACGTCACCGGCCAAGAAGCTGGCGTGTTGATCCTGTCTGTGCCCTGTGTCCATGCCCTGGTTGGTTTGGACGTCAGTGGGAGAGTGTGGGACTGTCACCTGGGGTACACACTATGGTCGCACAGACAGCTACGGTAAAACCCACAGCCGTCTATAATCGAGCAGGCGTGGGCCCAGGTAAGGCACATGCAGACAGACTCAGGATCAGGAATGGGCATGTTCACCTCTGCTGGGCACATGGACATACTGGAGGATCTTAATGGACATTTCGGCCCCTGCCAGGCACATGCAGACACACGCGGGGCCCTGGGTGGCGTCCAGCACCAGCTGCGGCGAGCCGGGGCAGACAGACCTGGATGAGCTCGGCAGCCGGCTTCCTCCTTTTCTCGAAGTGCTTCTGGCGGTGTTGCTCCTGCACCTTCAGGGCCAGCCCGGACCCCAGGATGCCCTGTGGGAGAAGCCGGCCCACAGTCAGTCACGTGACCCCGCCAGGCAGCAGGTGCTGGAGGGCTCGGGGTGCTTCGAGGTCAGCCTCCACAGCACCGTGTTGAAGAGGGGCCCCTTTCTTCTAGAGGAAGGAGGGGCTTGGTCACATGGAATCAGCCTTCAAATCAGCAAGTCCTGACTTCTGGTCCTCACTCTGCCTGACCAGTTGGGCACTCTTCTCATATCCTGTTTT